TTGTACCCCACTATAGCCTATACAGAACTAACACACATATATAGTTTGACACACCCTCATAGGCAAAGTGGGGGAGAACAAGGGGTCATAAGACCAGTCAAGAAAAGCAAAGCAAGCCCAGGGTGGATCACAACGTCACCACACACTCTGAGCACAAGCAAAGAGCCACAAGGCCAGTTCACATGCAGAGGTATATATGCAACAACAACAGTACAGTGATCACTACCTAGCAGGAGTAGGCATGCAGGTATATAATATAGATCACAGTACAAGCAAAGTCAAGAGGTAAGCAAGTGAGCAAACACTGGCACCAGGCCTAAAGCTGTGCAAAAGCGCTGATGGTCATAAAGGCGGAAGTGCCTTGGTGAACACATCAGCAGTGTTGGCCCTGGTGGCCACGTAAGAAACACGAAGCTGACCACGCTGCTGCAACTCTCGAGCAAGGAAGTAACGCAGAGCGATGTGCTTCGTTCTGTGCTCCAGTCTGTACTCCTCACACAAGGCAATGGCAGCCTTGTTGTCTACGTACAGAACTGGAGGAGAACGAGGCCTCTCTCCCAAGTCGGTCAGCAGGTAGGTGAGCCAGCGTAACTCCTGTGCAGCCATGGCTGTGGCGTAGATCTCAGCCTCACAACTGGAACTGAGAACAGAAGACGAGCGTGTAGACTGCCAAGAAACAGAGCCGGAGCCAAGGCTGAACGTGTACCCCTGCGACGACCGCTGCGTAGCCAGGTCGTCAACCCAAGAAGCGTCGGAGTGTCCAGTGAGGACAACCTCACCCCGTCCTCCAAGCACGAGCCCCATGCCCGATGTACTGCACAAGTAGCGTAACACCCTCTTAGCAGCCTCCCAGTGCTCTCGTCGGTGTCTCCCGGGCGCAACGTAGCGAGCCAGGATATTAAGAGGGTACGCAAGGTCAGGTCGAGTGCAGGTCATCAGGTACATGAGGCAGCTCACAAGCTCTGGATACGGGCCACTCGACTCTACGGACTCATCCGAAGGCAGAGCTGGGAGCGAGTGACCGGTAGCCATAGGAGTGGACTGTGGCGAGGACCAAGTGAAGCCGAAGCGCTGAAGGATCTGCTGCACCATGTGTGACTGAGTCAGTGTGATGGTGCGGCGTGCTCTATCCCGGGTGATCTGCAAGCCAAGGTAACTGCGCAGCTCACCCAAGTCTGTGCACGTGTGTCTCTTCTGCAGCTTCGACTTCACAAGAGCGAGTGCCTCAGTGTCAGCAGTGGCAAAGACCAAGTCGTCAACGTACACGAGGATGTAGAACGGCGGCAGCGAGGCATCGATGCGTAGAAACAGCGACGGGTCAGCAGTGGAAGGAGCAAACCCAAGAGCTGCTAGTGTCATCCTTTGTGTGTCGTGCCACTCACGAGGCGCCTGACGGAGACCGTAGACTGGCCGCCTGAGGCTCCACTGGGTACCAAGAGGAAACGACCCAGTGAAGCCAGGTGGGCGGCGCAGCCAGATCTCCTCGTACAGGCTGCCCTGTAAGAACGCTGTGCTGAAGTCAAGAGAGTGAAGCTCGTAGTCACGCTGAGCGGCAACGTGCAGTAGCACCCGAAGAGTGGTCATCTTTGGGGTAGGGGAGAAGGTCTGGAAGAAGTCAACTCCCTGTCGCTGACTGAAGCCTTGAAGACAGGCAGAGAACCCGGCGGCCGCTTCACCCTGAAAATCCACATGCCATCGACGATGTTCGCCCCAGGAGGGGGAACCTCGTCGACGTAAGTGCCTGTAGACTTCCAGGATGCCACCTCTGCGTCCATGGCTGTCTGCCACTGAGAGGAGTACTGACCCGAAATCGCCTCTGCGTAAGAGCGCGGGGTCGGGATGTCCAGTGCATCCCGTTCTCCCTTAGGAGCAAGCAGCATGGCTACGAGATGAGGTGCAGCGGCTGCAAGACACTCAAAGTCCTCCTGTCTGTCCTCAAGGACGTCCGTGCCAAGAGCACACTCACCCCCGACGGACGGAGGACAGACAGACTCAGACTCAGCAACAAGACTAGCAACGTAGTCGAGACGACAAGCAGCAGCATTGTCAACAAGCTCAGCGACCAAAGCAGACGCAGCAGCGGACTCAAACGAAGGGTCAGTGACAACAGTGGCTAACAGACGCGTGACAGTGGGGTGAGCAGCACGAACTAGGTCAGACTCAGGGTCCGGCACAGTAGGAAGAGAGGACGTAGGAGGAGACGGCAGAGGGACGCGCTGTGGAGCAGAGGAAGGACGAAGTGCCATAGTGTGAGTACCTGGCACAGGAGGAGGACGCGGACGCGGGACTCGACGAGCACGGCGAACAGTGCGAACAGGGGAGGCAGGACGAGACGTAGGCTCACGACGCTCTGTAAGCGAGTCAGTGTGCTCAGTGTAAGGAGAAGGAGCAGGCAGTGGTGAGGTGGGCTGTAACGGGAGGCCAGTAGAAGACGGGAGGCTAAGAACCTGGCGTAGTACGTAGGCAGGTGGTGGCAGAGACAACGTCGACGGTAGAGCGAAGAACAGTCGCGGCGGTGCAGTACCACTAGCACCAGTACCAGCAGCAGCTCCAGCGTCTCCTGCAGCTCCAGAACCTCCAGCCCCAGCGCCTCCAACGTCAGCACCTTCAGCTCCAGCGTCACCAGCAGTAGCACCCCCAGAACCGGCACCTCCAGCCCCAGGGTCCACAGCACCAGCGCCAGGGCCTCCAGCTCCACTGCCTCCAGCAGTAGAACCCCCAGAACCGGCACCTCCAGCTCCGGTGTCTCCAACTCCAGAGTCGACAGCACCAGCTCCAGAGTCTCCAGCTCCAGTGCCTCCAGCAGCAGCACCCCCAGAACCGGCACCTCCAGCCCAAGAGTCTCCAACTCCAGGGTCGACAACACCAGCTCCAGGGCCCCCAGCTCCAGTACCTCCAGCAGCAGCACCCCCAGCTCCGGCAGCTCCAGTACCTCCAGGACGAGCACCTCCGGGACTAGCAATGCCAGCACCACCAGCACCTCCAGCACCAGCAGCACCACCAGCTCCGGCAGCTCCAGTACCTCCAGGACGAGCACCTCCGGGACCAGCAGTGCCAGCACCACCAGCACCTCCAGCACCAGCAGCACCACCAGCTCCGGCAGCTCCAGTACCTCCAGGACGAGCACCTCCGGGACCAGCAGTGCCAGCACCACCAGCACCTCCAGCACCAGCAGCACCACCAGCTCCGGCAGCTCCAGTACCTCCAGGAGGAGCATCTCCGGGACCAGCGGTGCCAGCTCCTCCGGTACCAGTAGCTCCAGGGCCTCCAGCTCCAGCAGCTCCACGCGGAAGGCAGTAGCGCTGAGTGTACCACTCACGCAGCTGCTGTGGTGAGAGAGGCTCCCGCCGGCTAGACTGCTGGGGCGAGGCCTCGAGAGAACCGCCAGGACTAGTAGACGTAGCACCACCAGGCTCAGCACCCCCAGAAGTAGCACCCGTAGGCTCAGCACCCCCAGGCACAACACCCCCAGGCTCCACACGCTCAGGCTCCTCAATCGCAGGCTCAACACCCCCAGGCACAACACCCCCAGGCTCCACACGCTCAGGCTCCTCACTTGCAGGCTCAACACCCCCAGACGCAGCACCCCGAGCAGCACCACCCTCAGCGGCACCTGAGTCACCAGTGACCTCGACAGGCTCAGGCAAGGGAGGCGGGTCTACCTGAGACACACCTGAAGGAGCAGGAATCTGAGGGGGGGTGGGGGGGTCAACCGGAGGGAAACCTGGAGCGAGGTAGAGGGGCGGCGGGGGGAGGGGGGCAGTGCGGTAGGAAAAGAGGCGGTAAAAGGGAACCGACTTGTCAAACGTGACGTCCTGAGAGGCAAACACCCGACGCGACATGGGGTGGTAAAACTGCCAGCCAGGGGAAAACCAAGGAAGACGCAGGGAATGGCGCGAGCGGAGAGCTTGTCCGCGGTGGTATCGCGGACAAAGGCACGAGCGACCTCCATGACTAAGCCAATGTGGCGCTCAGCAACCCCATTCTGCTGCGGAGAGGCCGGAAGTGTGAACGACTGGAGGATGCCCTCCCCCTGACAAAAGTCCTGCAAGAGGTCGGAGGAGAACTCACCACCTTTGTCAGAGTGCAGACGCAGGACGGGAAGGTCCGTGTCGAACCGCTCGCGGAGCTGGAGACGCACAGCGCGGATCCAAGGGATCAAAACAGCAGGGACTTCACCCTTGCTGCGCAAGGGGAAGACCGTGGTGTAACGCGAGTAGTCGTCGACAACCAGCAGAAAGTACCGCTCGCGGCCCTGTCCCTGGACGCGGGCTGGGCCCCACACGTCCAGGTGGAGAGTCTGCAGGGGAGCAGTCGTCGGGGGAAACGAGCGGTGCGCTGCCGCCCCTCGACGCAAGGAATGCAGGGCGGGGCAGGCGAGGGCGGGAGGGAAGGCAGAGACCTGGGAAGACCAGAGACCAGGTAGCGAGAGTGCATGCCACGGAGGCGTGGCAAGGAGGGGTGACCAAGGCGGTGGTGCCAAAGGAGAGTCTGGTGCGACAGGTGACGACACTCGCAGGGGGGGCTACCAGACCTGACGCAGCCACCTGACCAGACGCAGCAACCTGGGGAGGCTCAGTAGTCAGTGTGCACATACTCGACCTAGGCCGACGGGTAAACGTGGCCAGGTGACGGCTGTCGGAAAGAACGAACAGGAATGATGAACTAACAGTCCAAAACAATACAAGTACCTAACCCTAGAATTGTGTACCCCGTATAGGCTAACCCACTGTAGCCTACACAAGCATAACATATATAATGTTTGACACACCCCCATAGGCAAAGTGGGGAGAACAAGGGGTCACAAGACCAGTCAAGGCAGAGCAAGGCAAAACAAGCTCAGGGTGGATCTCAAGGATTCCACACAAATTCTGATCACAAGCAAGCGGTCACAAGACCAGTTCACATACAGGTTTATAATAGAGCAAGAGGTACAATGATCACAACCTAGCAGGAGTAAACATGCAGGTATATATATAAAGATCACAGTACAGACAGAGTCAAGAAGTGAGCAAGTGAGGTCCAGTAGGCACAAGACCTAGGAGAGTGCAAAAGCGCTGATGGTCACAAGGCTGAAGCGCCTTGGTGAACACATCAGCAGTGTTGGCCTCAGTGGCCACGTAACGGAGACAAAGCTGACCACGCTGCTGAAGCTCTCGAGCAAGGAAGTACCGCAGAGCGATGTGCTTCGTTCTGTGCTCCAGTCTGTGCTCCTCACACAAGGCAATGGCAGCCTTGTTGTCAACGTACAGCACTGGAGGGGAACGAGGCCGCTCTCCCAAGTCAGTCAGCAGGTAGGTCAGCCAGCGTAGCTCCTGGGCCGCCATGGCTGTGGCGTAGATCTCAGCCTCACAACTGGAGCTGAGAACAGAAGAAGAACGTGTAGAACGCCAAGAAACTGAGCCAGAGCCAAGGCTGAAGGTGTAACCTTGAGACGACCGCTGCGTAGCCTGGTCGTCTGCCCAAGAAGCGTCTGAGTGTCCAGTGAGTACAACACGGTCTCGCCCTCCAAGCACTAGCCCCATGCCCGACGTACTGCACAAGTAGCGCAACACCCTCTTAGCGGCATCCATGTGCTCCTTCCTGTGACGGCCAGGAGCGACATAGCGTGCAAGGATGCTAAGAGGGTATGCAAGGTCAGGTCGAGTGCAGGTCATCAGGTACATGAGGCAGCCAACAAGCTCTGGATACGGGCCACTCGACTCTACGGACTCATCCGAAGGCAGAGCTGAGAGCGAGTGACCTGTAGGCAGAGGAGTGGCCTGAGGCGAGGAGTACGTGAAGCCGAAGCGCTGAAGGACCTGCTGCACCATGTGTGACTGAGTCAAGGTGATGGTGCGCCGTGCTCTGTCCCGAGTGATCCGCAAGCCAAGGTAGCTTGTCAGTTCACCCAGGTCTGTGCACGTGTGTCGCTTCTGCAGCTCGGACTTCACGTGGGCGAGTGCCTGAGTGTCAGCAGTGGCAAAGACCAAGTCGTCGACGTACACGAGGATGTAGAACGGCGGCAGTGAGGTGTCAGTGCGTAGAAACAGCGACGGGTCAGCAGTAGAAGGCGCGAACCCAAGAGCCGCGAGTGTCGTCCTCAGTGTGTCGTGCCACTCACGTGGCGCCTGGCGGAGACCGTAGACTGGCCGCTGGAGCCTCCACTGGGTACCAGGAGGGAACGACCCAGTGAAGCCAGGAGGGCGGCGCAGCCAGATCTCCTCGTGCAGACTGCCCTGCAAGAAAGCAGTGCTGAAGTCAAGAGAGTGAAGCTCGTAGTCTCGTATGTGCAGCAGCACCCGAAGAGTAGTCATCTTCGGGGTGGGGGAGAAGGTCTGGAAGAAGTCTACTCCCTCGCGCTGACTGAAGCCACGAGCCACGTAGCGCGCCTTGAAGACAGGCGGAGAACCCGGCGGCCGCTTCACCCTGAAAATCCACATGCCACTGACGATGTTCGCCCCAGGTGGGGGAACCTCGTCGACGTAGGTGCCTGTGGACTTCCAGGAAGCCATCTCTGCGTCCATGGCTGTCTGCCACTGAGAGGAGTAGGGACCTGCCACCGCCTCTGCGTAAGAGCGCGGGGTCGAGATGTCTGGTGCATCCGGGTCTCCCTCAGGGGCAACTAGCATGGACACAAGATGGGGCAAAGCAGCAGCAAAGCACTGGAACTCCTCCTGCCTGTCCTCAAGGACGTCCGTGCCAAGAGCACACTCACCCTCGACGGACGGAGGACAGACAGACTCAGACTCAGCAACAAGGCTAGCGGCGAAGTCTAGACGGCACGCGGCAGCAAAGTCAACCAACTCAGCAACCAGAGCAGACGCAGCAGAGGACTCAAAGGTAGGGTCAGTGACAACAGTGGCGAGGAGACGCGTGACTGTGGGACTGGCAGCACGACGGGAGTCAGACTCCGGGTCAGGAAGAGTAGGGAGAGAGGACGTTGGAGGAGACGGCAGAGGGACACGCTGAGGAGCAGTGGAGCGACGCAGTGTCATGTAGTGAGTGCCAGGGACAGGAGGAGGACGCTCACGTGTGCCACGACGACTAGTGTGCGCAGGACGAACAGGCGACGCAGGACGAGACGCAGGCTCACGACGCTCGGTAAGACCTCCTGTGGGACCGGTGTAAGGAGAGGGACCAGGGAGAGGCGAGGCAGGTGGTAACTGTGACTGCGACTGGACAGGCTGCAGACACTCTACGGAGGGAGGAGGACAAGGAGGAGGAGCGAGACCAAGAACCTGCTGAAGGAGCGGGACGAAGTACGGTCGCGGCCTCGTAGCGTCTCCAGAGCCAGCAGGGACACCAGCACCGGGGACCTCAGCACCAGCAGTAGCTCCACCGTGCGGGTCCGCAGCACCAGCAGCAGCTCCACCGCCCGGGTCCTCAGCACCAGCAGCCGCGCCACCGGTCGGGTCCTCAGCACCAGCAGCAGCTCCACCGGCCGGGTCCGCAGCACCAGCAGCAGCTCCACCGTCCGGGTCCGCAGCACCAGCAGCAGCTCCACCGCCCGGGTCCGCAGCACCAGCAGCAGCTCCACCGGCCGGGTCCGCAGCACCAGTAGCAGCTCCACCGCCCGGGGCCTCAGCACCAGCAGCAGCTCCACCGTCCGCGTCCTCAGCACCAGCAGCAGCTCCACCGTCCGGGTCCTCAGCACCAGCAGCAGCTCCACCGTCCGGGTCCGCGGCACCAGGGGCTCCACTCCGAAGACTGCAGCGCCGCGTGTACCACTCGGATCTGCTGAAGGGAGGGGAGCTCCCGGGGAGGTGGGGAAGCACGGGTACCGGCGCCAGGAGCACCCCTCCGGAGGCTGCAGTACCGGAGGTACCTCTCCTGCAGCTGCTGGGAGGAGAGGGCTCCTCCAGGTGTAGCACGCTCAGGCTCAGCACCACCAGACTCAGCACCCCCAGACTCAGCACCCCCAGTCTCAGCACCTCCAGGCTCAGCACCTCCAGGCTCAGCACCTCCAGGCTCCGCACCTCCAGGCTCAGCACCCCCAGTCTCAGCACCTCCAGACTCAGCACCTCCAGGCTCAGCACCCCCAGTCTCAGCACCCCCAGGCTCAGCACCCCCAGGCTCAGTACCCCGAGGAGGACGCGACTCGACGGCTACCTCGACAGGCTCAACGGGGTCTACCTGAGACACACCTGAGGGAGCGGCACCCTGAGGGGGGAGGGGCTCTACAACAGCAGCACCTGGCGCGAGGAAGAGAGGCGGAGGGGGGAGCGGGGCAGTGCGGTAGGGGAAGAGACGGTAGAAGGGGACCGACTCGTCGAACGTGACGTCCTGAGAGGGGAAGACACGGCGCGAGACAGGGTGGTAAAACTGCCAACCAGACGCGTCAGGGACAAAGCCAAGGAAGACATAGGGGACAGCTCGACGAGAGAGCTTGTCCGCGGACGTGTCGCGGACAAAGGCACGAGATCCCCAGACGCGGAACACCGACGCATCGCCAACCTCTCCCGTCCAACGCAGTGTCGGCGAGGTCTCTGGACCGGAGACACGGGGCCAGAGGTTGAGCTGATGCGCGGCGTACCGGACAGCAAACGGCCACAGAAAATGGGGGGCAGCCGCATGGACCAAGGAGGTACGAGCGACCTCCATGACCAGGCCAATGCAGCGCTCAGCAACCCCATTCTGCTGCGGAGAGGCCGGAAGCGTGAACGTCTGCTCAATGCCCTCCTCCTGACAGAAGGCGCGCAAGAGGTCGGAGGAAAACTCACCGCCCCTATCAGAGTGCAGTCGCAGGACCGGAAGGTCCGAGCGAAAGCGCCGCTCCAGCTGGAGACGAGTAGCGCGGATCCAAGGGATCAAGACATCAGGGACCTCACCTTTGGTGCGCAAGGGGAAGACCGTGGTGTAGCGCGTGTAGTCGTCAACTACCAGCAGAAAGTAGCGCTCCCCGCCCTGTCCACGGACGCGGGCGGGGCCCCACACGTCCAGGTGGAGTGTCTGCAGAGGAGCCTCCGTCGGGGGAAACGCAGAAGAGTGAGGAGCGGCGCGCTGCCGCCCCTCGACACAGGGAATACAGGGAGGAGCCGGCGAGGGTGGGAGGGGAGGGAGAACCCTGGGAAGACCAGAGACAAGGTACCGCTGGTGCATGGTCCGAAGGCGCTGCACGGACGGGTGGCCAAGTCGGTGGTGCCAGAGGACGGTGTCGTGCGCGAGAGACCGACACGAGCAGGGGGCGGACAGCTGACCTGACGCAGACGCAGACGCAGCCACCTGTGGGGACCCAGTGGTCAGTGTGTACAGGTCCGACCCTGGCTCCCGAGTGAAGGTAGCCAGGTGACGACCCGTCCGAGCACACGTGCAGTGTGTCACACGCTCGTAGGCAGGGGTGAACTGGTGAACACCCCCGTCCTGGAGCGCGCTACCTGCCACCAAGTTCGTAGAGAACGAGGGGAGGTAGAGCCCTGACAGTGTGCCGGACGGGACCGCCGGACAGGGAAGGACAGTGGAGGAGGTCGCAATGACCGGACCCCCAGAGGGGTCAGCGAGGGAGACAGCAACTGGCCGAGCAAGTGGCTCAAGGACAGTGCGGTCACGAAAGAAACAGCGTGAAGCACCTGAGTCCAGGGTGAAGGTGTGCAGTGCCTCAGTCGACTCAGTACCAGGGGGGACAGACGCACGAGCACCTAGAGCGACAGCCTCACCATCACCTGAGGGAGCAGACACGCAAGTACCTGCAGCGGCAGTCTCACTAGCACCTGGAGCGGCAGTCTCACTGGTCAGAATGCCCGGGTCGGGCGGAACACACAAGTACTGAGCACCCTCTCCACTAGTAAACATGGCATACATGGCAGTGAGAATAGCATCAAAGTCTAGAGCCCAGATATCAACCCCCTTCCTCTCCAGATCAGCCCAGCGGGGCAGCTCAGCGCCATCAGGGAACTGGGTGCGCCAAGCGTCGGTAAGGCGCGCGAAACAGCGCTGCGTGGGGTGCGGCCTCCCACACTGCTGACCAGTGCGGTCACCAGTGCGGATGACATACGTGCAGCTAAGACGCTGGGCATACCACTCACGGGCCTCCTGGAGCGACGGAGTGTGCTGCTGGCTCAGACCACCGCCAGCGCCTCCACGGCCACCACCACTGCCGCCACCTCCGCGACCACCGCCTCCCCTGCCGCTGCCACGACCACCTCCGCCCCCACCGCCGCCCCCGCCCCTGCCACCACCCCCGCCGCTGCCGTCACCACCCCCACTGCCGCCACTAGCCTCTCCAGCCCCTCCTCCACTCCCACCGCCTCCACCCCCACCTCCTCCGCCGCCACCTCCACCCTTGCCCCCTCTCGTCCTGCGGCGCCCGCTCGAAGCAGACGCGGTCCCGACCTTCTCAGCACCAAGAAGGTCGACAGCAGAAGCAGAGGCGACAGAGGGAAGGAGGGGGGAAGGGGAACACCCCTCAAAGAAAGGAGTGCGGGGGTCACCACGAGAGGCACCTACAGCGACGACACTCGCCTCGGCTGCAAGTAGCTCCTTCTCGAGGAGGGCAATGGTGAGCTCAGTGGGGCAGCGAGCTAGAAACTGGTCCCTGACTGCGCGCAGAGAGTCAGGGAGGCGGGTGACTAGGTGGTAGAGAACGAGCCAGAGCGGGGGGGGGTTGTTAGCTAGGAACTCGGCAGGCATAGCAGCGCGGAAGCGGGCCTCACTAGTCTTGAGGTGGGTGATGAGGTCAGCAACGGTGTGGAAGGAGGCCAGGTCGGGGAACAGGTAGGGGAGGGAGAGGCGGCCTAGTGCGGCAGAAGCAGGCGAGGAGTAGCGAGCAACTACAGCAGTGTACAGGTCCTTAGCAGTCTTGTGCTGGCCAAAGTGCTCGCGCTCATCTAGCGGCAGGGAGTTGCGAATGGCAAAGCGAGCGTGAGCGTCACGAGTCTGCCACTGTGAGCGCTGAGTGCTGTCAGCAGTAGTAGGAGGTGCAGTAGCGTGGCCTAGGGCGTGATCGTACAGTGAAATATCTTCCTTGGCAGTGAGCTGTAGGTAGAGGTGCAGGTCATCAAGCCAGGTGTCAAACTTCACTGGGCGGCCCTCAGTATCGAAAGCGAGTACAGGAGGAGTAGCCATAGCAGCAGTAGCAGTGGCAGTAGCAGCAGTAGGAGTAGCAGTAGCAGTAGTGTAGTGCAGGTAGGACAGCGCGGCTCGGCTAGGGCTGTGCGGCTCGGCTAGGGCGGCGCGGCTCGGTTCGGGGCGCGCGGCTCGGCTCGGTCTGGGCGGCTCGGTTCGGGTCGCGCGGCTCGGGTTGGATCGGGCGGCTGTAGCAGTCGCGGGGCCGTTTGGGGCCGCTAGGGGCTAGCGCGGGGCCGTTCGGGGCCTCTAGGGGCGAGCGCGGGGCCGTACAGGGCCGTAAGGGGCGGGCGCGGGGCCGTTCGGGGCCGTAAGGGGCGAGCGCGGGGCCGATCGGGGCCGCTAGGGGCTAGCGCGGGGCCGTTAGGGGCCTCTAGGGGCGAGCGCGGGGCCGTACGGGGCCGTAAGGGGCGAGCGCGGGGCCGTTCGGGGCCGTAAGGGGCGAGCACGGGGCCGATCGGGGCCGCTAGGAGCGAGCGCGGGGCCGTTCGGGGCCGTAAGGGGCGGCGCGCGGGTCACTAGGGGGGGGGATCGCGGGTCGCGGGGCCTTAGGGGGCCGTGAAAAACGAGGCGCCCTAGGGCGCAGGTAGGTAGGTAGGTAGGTAGGTAGTGGTGGGCCCTAAAAAAAACGGTCCTAGCGAAGGACCTGCTCTGAAACCATGTCGGAAAGAACGAACAGGAATGATGAACTAACAGTCCAAAACAGTACAAGTACCTAACCCTAGAATTGTGTACCCCGTATAGGCTAACCCACTGTAGCCTACACAAGCATAACATATATAATGTTTGACAACGGCCTGTCCGTGCACACGTGCAGATCGCCACACGCTGGCCTCCAGGGATAAAGGTATTAACCCACTCATCCTGAAGAGCTGCGTTACTCACCAAGTTCGTCGAGAACGAGGGGAGGTGGAGACCTGACAGCGAGCCGGACGGAACCGCCGGACACAAGAGCACGGTGGAGGAACGTGCAAGAACCGGACCCCCAGAGGGGTCAGCCAGGGAGACCGCAACCGGTCTAGGGAGCGGTGTGAGTGCGGTACTGTCGCGAAAGAAACAGCGTGAAGCACCTGAGTCAAGCGTGAAGGTGTGCAAGGGCTCAGCAGACGCAGTACCAGAGAGAGCAGACTCACTAGCACCGAGAGAAAACGCACTAGTACCTAGAGTAGCAGCCTCTATGCCAGGGTCGGGCGGCACACAGAGGTAACAGTCACCCTCAGTACCCACAGTCAGAGTATACATGGCAGTAAGTATAGCGTCCAAGTCGAGAGCAAAGACGTCCACCCTGTGACGAAGCAGCTCCAGCCAGCTGGGGGGCTCAGCCTCGTCGCCAAACACCTCTCTCCAGGCGTCACTCAAATAGGCGAAGCAGCGGGGCTGTGAATGGCCAGGTGTCCCGCAGGTCTGCCCGGCCCGAGCACCTGTGCGAATGACGTACGGGCAGCGACCAGTACTCGGAGACTTCCCACGCTGGAAATACCACTCACGAAGCTGCTGGGGCGGAAGGGTGACGCGCGGACCTCGCTGAAGCTGCAGCTGGCCACCACCAGAACCTCCCCACCGAACAGCTCCACCTCGACTGCCGCTGCGGCCGCCTCCACCACTCCCACCGCTGCCCCCACCGCCGCCATGACTCCCACCACTACCACTAAGAGAAGCCATAGTGGGCAGAGGAAGGAGGTAGGGCAGGGCAAGGCAGGAACGGAGACGCACGGGCTGCAGAGGGCGTCGTGTAGGTGGGCAGGAGGCGAGTGCGCGGGCTAGGAGAGCGGCGCACTGGCTGGCAGAGCGGTGCGAGGATCTGGGACGGCGCTCGGCAGGGCAGGGCGGGCGTAGGGCAAGGCAGGGTCGGGCGCGCGGGCTAGTAGAGCGCTGCGCGGGCGGACAGGGCGGCGAGCAGGCCGGCAGGGGTGGTGCGCGGGCTCTGGGGCGGCGCACGGCAAGGGCAGGGGCCGCGCGCAGGCTCTGGGGCGGCGCGACGGGCAGGCAGGGGCGGTGCGCGGGCTCTGGGGCGGCACGACGGGCAGGCAGGGGCAGCGTGCGGGCTCTAGGGCGGCGCGACGGGCAGGCACGGGCGGCGCGCGGGCTCTAGGGCGGCGCGACGGGCAGGCAGGGGCGGCGCGCGGGCTCTGGGGCGGCGCACGGCAAGGGCAGGGGCCGCGCGCAGGCTCTGGGGCGGCGCGACGGGCAGGCAGGGGCAGCGTGCGGGCTCTAGGGCGGCGCGACGGGCAGGCAGGAGCGGCGCGCGGGCTCTGGGGCGGCGCACGGCAAGGGCAGGGAACGCACGCAGGCTCTGGGGTGGCGCGACGGGAAGGCAGGAGCGGCGCGCGGGCTCTGGGGCGGCGCGCGGCAATGGCAGGGGCCGTGCGCGGGCTCTGGGGCGGCGCACGGCAAGGGCAGGGGCCGCGCACGGGCTCTGGGGCGGCGCGACGGACAGGCAGGGGCGGTGCGCGGGCTTTGGGGCGCCGCACGGCAAGGCAAGACAGGGCGTGCGCGGGGCGGCGCAACGCAGGGCAGGGCGTGCGCGTGGCGGTGCGACGCAGTGTAGGGCATGGCGTGTGCGGGGCTGCGCAGCGCAAGGCAGGGCAGGGCAGGGCGCGCGCGGGCGGCGCGACGCAGAACAGGGCGTGGGGTAGCACGGTAACCGCAGACGGTCACTAGCGAAGGGTGGGCCCGAAAAAAACGGTCGTATGGACCTACTGCTCTGAAACCATGTTAGAATCTAGAAGCAGAAATGTGTGTATTGATTGAAAGGTGGGTACAAGTACTAACCCTAACTTTGGGTTGTACCCCATATGGGCTACCCCACTATAGCCTACACAGAACTAACACACATATATAGTTTGACATTGCCCTGTCCAGGGACTGTAAACCTGCCAGCAAGCATGGAGGGGGAGAGAGAGAGGGCAGGGAGGGGAGGGGGTTGGGGATGCTATTGGATGCATGTGGGTTGATTACCTTGGTAGGCTTGTATGCTGGGGGCGTGGGTGTTGATTGTCAGAGTGATTTTTTATAATTTGAAAAACACTCTGCATGTTTTTTTTTTTTTTTTTTTTTTTTTTTTTTGGAGATGCGGTGAAGCGTTTTCCGCTCACAGCAACAAATTCGGAAATTTGAGGGCGTTGGGCAAGACAGCTGGAACTGGAACTCTTCACCTGTGCTGCTAGACCCAAACCTTTAATCACTTGTACAACCCACACTTAATTAATCATACAGCTCAGGCTCACCCTACTTGTTCTGTTTGGGCTCACATGTAGTGCTGCCCGGATTCACATGTAGTGCTGCCCGGATTCACATGTAGTGCTGCCCGGACCCACATGTAGTGCTTCCCGGACTCACATGTAGTGCTGCCCAGACTCACATGTAGTGCTGCCAGGACCCACACCTAGTGCTGCCCGGACTCACATATACTGGCCGCCACCAATAAGGGGTCGAAGGTGCTTTGCGTACTTGAAGTCGCAGCCAACAAACCCAACAAACCCAACAAACCCAACAGTACTAGATGCAAAGAAGGAAAGACCAGATTGAACACCAGCACGGTCGATCGCGATCCAGCGTTGCAAAGCTCGCACCGCTCCAGCGCTGCAGAGAAGCGGCTTGCGAACGTTCCAAGTCTACGGCATGCCAACGCTGTAGCAAGGTGGCTGCACAGCGTTGCATCCGCATGACAGTGGTGCACCCGCTTCGTAGGTGCGCGCAGCTGGTTGGTGCGCCACGCCTTGTCACGTCACGTGCCCAGCGCAGTCGCCAGGCCGAGAACACGCCATCGAATGCGTCCACCAGCCACGTGGACCTCGGAATACCACTTCCAAGGTCGGCTTCGCAGGAACCACTTGGGCGACAGTCGCGCACCTCCGCTGATCCCCGTCGGCGGCTACGCAGTGGCCCCGTGCTGGTCGACCACCCCGGTCGACCAGCATGCCAAGTCGGCGTTGCCCACTGCAGCAGGTCGGCAGCACACCCCGCACATCCGACCACGAAGTCAGCTCCGCCCAAGCGAGGACGGGGCCAACAACAACTCCCGTTGATATGGCCCCCTTCCTTCCCCACTATAGCCATCTGCCTGCTGGTGCTGCTGGCTGGGGGAGGGAGAGGGTAGGGTAGGGCAAGGGTGTGGAGGAGGTGACTCCTTTACGGGTGACTCTTTTGGAGGTGACTCTTGAATCGAGTCTAAGTTGGCCTGGCGTTGGTGCTGCTGGCTGCTGCAATGGTGTGAGAGCGGGGAGGAGGGGAGAGGGGGGTGGGTCCATCTCCTGCTAGACATACTCATTCCGCTGTACGTACTTTGACAAGGAGATCCACGTACACATAAGGGGGTTTCACTTTAGGGTTGGGAAAGAATATAGGCAAAGAGAAGCAACAAAAGGTGTACCGCCCTACACATACGGTAATGTTTTATATAATTACTAAAATTACACCAGGCTACACTACAGACAGTTGTATGCAAACATTTTGACACATTCACATCACATCAGAATTGCACCATTTGGCCAGCGGGTGGCACAACCAGCCTTATTCCGCAGCACCACACAACCAGGCCCCTTTCTACAACGTCCCCTTCATGAACACTACCATAACATTGACCCCCCATAGCACATCACGTGGAATGAAGGAACGTCCCTCCAAGCCCCCTCACACCGTGCCCTCATGCGCCCCAATGGGCACAGGAGGCCTGTTGCCATGCACACCCGTTGACATCTGCACACTCCCCGCTCCCCCATCCCCCTCCCCTCCCCCATCCCCCTCCCCTCCCCCTTCCTCCCCAATCCCCTCCCCTCCCCCACCCGCACGCGCGATGATGATCGGCTGCGACTGGCAATTCCGAAAGGTGAATCCATCCCCCGTCCCACCATTCCCCGCCTTCCCACCCGCACCACCATTCGCACCACCACCAGCAACCGGGTTCCCTGGCGAATCCCCCGCGTAGCTGCCCGAGGTGTCCGGCAGGCTGCCCGAAAAAAAAGGCTGCTGCGAGCCGTAGTCATCATAAGAGTAGCCATAGCTGTATTCGGAGGAGGCGGTGGAGGAGGGCAGCACCACCACACGCCCCAGATGCTCCACCAGCGCTTGCGCCACGTCCCTGATGGCCGGCCGGTCTGCAGAGCGGTCCTGCGCAGTACGGAGGGGTGGGGGAAATGGGGGGAAAGGGGGGGGATGGAAAGGGGGAGGAGGGCGAGAGATGGAGTGTGGCATCAGAATGGGTGCCAGAATCAGGGGTTGAATTAAAGGGTGGAATCTGCTGCCCACCTGCACGCAGCTCCTAGCAATGTCACACAGTACCTGCGCAACATGCAGGTCATAGTCGCTGCCCAGAGACAGACAAATGACCAATGCACACACACACATATACCTCTCAGCCAATGCATCCAAATCGCACGTGCACACATGCCACGCTCACCTGCACGCAGCTCCTGGCAATGTCACACAGAATCTGCGCCTCATGCAGGTCGTAGTCGCTGCCCAGAGACGGGTCCAGCAGCTCCCCCAGGCGCTCGCTGTCCATTAGATACTCCTCCGCCTGGTGGGAGGATGGGGAAGGGGTGGAGGGATGAGCAGGCACGCACAACACAAGGCAGAAAGCTGGAAAGCATGGCAACAATTGGGCGGGTCCAGCAGCTCTACCAGGTGCTCGCTTCCCATCAGGTACTCCTCCGCCTGAAGGATGGGGAGGCACAGGCAGAGGTACAACACAGGCAGAGGGATGAGAAGACAGAGCACAAGGCAGGAAGAGTGGAGGGGACTGGCTTCAGCCGGGTCCAGCAGCTCCACCAGGCGCTCGCTGTTCATCAGGTAATCGTCCGCGTGGCGGGTGGCGGGAGCAGAGGTACTGGACAGAAGCAACAGGGCAAGTAGACTACGGAGGATGGACACGGTGAGCAGCGATGGGTCCAGTGCGCACATGGGAAGGCAGATGGGGACGGGGGTGGTGAGGAAGGGTTGAGGTTCGAGTGAAGTAGGTGTGGTGTGAGAGTGGTACTTACTCTGGAAGCATGGGATTGTTCTTATTGAGTACAGGCCATGCCCTGAGCATAAACACCACAGCTCTCATCCATGCGGAACAAGTTACCATGTTACCCTGGGCGCCCAGAGCTGCTTCTCATGGATCAGCATTTCCGGGCACATGGGCACATAGCTGTGCACGTCGCTCCATGCCTCATGCACAGCAATTCCAGGCACATTGCCACTCTCCTGCGTTCCCACTCACCCAGTAAGCTAGAGGTTGCTTCTCGTGGATGGCATACGTGCCACTCAGCAGCACCACACCATAGGCCATAGCTGTACACGTGAAGTCCCATGCACACACATTCCCCACCAACAGGTGTTCTTGCCCACCCACTCACCCAGTAAGTGAGGGGCTGTTTCTCGTGAATGGAGTACTTCCCACTGAGCAGCTCCAGCAGCACGACGCCACGGCTGTACACATGAAGTCAAAGCATGCTCCGTGCACATGAAGCACATTGCCGCTCCCAATGGTTCCCATCCCACTTACCCAGTACGCCAGTGGTTGCTTCTCGTGAATGGCGTACTTCCCACTGAGCAGCTCCAGCAGCACGACCCCATAGCTGTACACTGTCAGAAATAGGCTTAGAAGCGATGCATTAGTAATGAGCTTGAAGCTCTTTAAGTACATCCAAGAGGGGTAGGAAAAGGATGGGGAAGGGAATCGGGGGCAATCTCTAGGGATTGGGGGTAATCCCAAGGCAATCTCCAATTGGTGGGTTGGAGATTGGTTGGAGATTACATTTGGGTTTGGTTGGGATGTAGGTGTACACCCAACCAAACACAATGTGCAAACTACACTACTCTAGGATATAGAAAATACAAAGTACAAATTGTGAGATTGAAGACTAACACTAACACCCCCCCATAGGCGTCAATCGAACTCAGGGTAGAGAGGGTGGAGCACAGAGCCCCATGGCGCCAAGGAGACGGTGGTGGGGAACTTTCCCAAGGGGCTTGGTGAACAGATCAGCCAGGTTGCAGTCAGATGCAACGTATTCCACTTTCAACTGCTCTTGTTGGACAAGGTCACGGATGAAGAAGTGCCGGAGTTCAATGTGCTTGGTGCGGGTGTGATACACAGGGTCTTGAGAGATGTGGATGGTACTCTGGTTGTCACACCAGAGGGTAGGGGCGGACTGTGGGAAACCAAGTTCCTGGAGGAGGAAGGTGAGCCAACGAGCCTCCTGAGCAGCCATGGTGCCTGCGTAGAGCTCTGCCTCACATGAGGAGAGGGAGACTGCAGACGACCTGGTGGAGCGCCAACTGACAATTCCGCTCCCAAGGGTGAAGCAGTACCCCTGAGAGGAGCGTCGGTCGGTCTGGTCATCAGCCCAGGAGGAGTCGGTGTAACCCTCTAGGCGAGGAGGGGAGAGCCCACCGAGTGTGAGGACGTGAGACTTGGTGCCCTGAAGATAGCGCAACACCCGCTTGGCTGCCTTCCAGTGAAGGTCAGTGAAGCGTCCAGGGGCCACGTAGCGAGAGAGGACACTGACAGGATAGGCCAGGTCTGGCCGGGTGCACATCATGGCGTACATGAGGGACCCAACAAGCTCCGGGTATGGCTCAGAGCAGGCCTCTGGTGTGGGTACCGCTGGAGCTGTGAGGAGGTGTTGCAGCGGCAGCGGGGTGGCAACAGGTGTGCATAGCTCCATCTCAAATCGCTTGAGCACATTGTCGATGTAGAACTCCTGGGAGAGTGAGATGGTGCGAGCCTTGCGATCACGAGTGATCTCCATCCCCAGGTAGTGCTTGAGGTCACCGAGGTCTTTCATCTGGAGAGCCTTGCTTAGGGCTGCCTGGACTGAGGTCATCTGGGCCGAGTCCTTGGCCACGAGGATGAAATCATCCACGTAGACTAGGATGTAGAAGGGCTCAGAATGACGGCGGATGAAGAGAGTCGGGTCAGCAGTTGAAGGGTGGAAGTCCAGGGAGAGGAGGACTTCTTTCACCTTGTTGTGCCATTCGCGAGGGGCTTGCTTAAGGCCGTAGACGGGGCGATTCAGCTTCCAGACAGTGTTGGGAGGGAAATCTCCTGGGAAGCCTTCTGGTCTGTCCATGAACACTGTCTCCTTGAGACGTCCTTGTAGGAAGGCGGATGAGGCATCCATGGATTTGATCTCGAAGTCTTCTCGAGCTGCGACATCCATGAGCGTACGAATGGTGGGAGGTTTGGATGTGGGGGAGAAGGTTAGGAAGAAGTCGCGGTACTGCTGCTGGGTGAAGCCCTTGGCTACGTAGCGCGCTTTAAACACCGGTGCCTCGTCTGGGAGCTGTTTTACACGGAACAACCACTTGCCCCCGACGATGTTGACTCCTGGAGGTGGAGTCTCGTCGTCGAAGGAGTGGTTGCGGGTGAATGCTGCAATCTCCGCGTCCATGGCAGCACGCCATTTGGCAGAATGAGGGCCTGAGAGAGCCTCTTGGACGGTGAGAGGGATAGGGATGGTCGGGTTCTCCGCGAAGTTGAGGGAGGGTGAGCCAGTGATGTCGGGGAAGATGTGTGAGAGCTGAGGAAGGACTGCATGGAGATCACACAGTTCCTCATGCCTGTCTTCTAGAAGGGTAGAGGGCACATCCCCCCCAGCAGGAGGAGGCGGTGTGATCGCGGTGTATCGAAGAACCATCGCGAGTGGAAGAGTAGCGCGATGTGAGCGAGTGCCATGAGCCACCGGGGAAGAGGGTGGGGCTGGCGGGGTCGGAGAGGGTGACTTAGCAGGCTTGGGCGGGGGAAGGGGTCGCCGGCGGTACGTGATCAGCTCGGGCGACTGTGGGAGAGCGGGTTCCTCTGTGGTGGGGGGAGCCGGGGGAGGAGGTGGGGCCGGAGGGTGGGACCGCCGATGGTAGGTGATAGGTGCGCTCGGAGGGGGCGGCGCAGCGGGAAGTGGGGAAGGTGAGGGGGAGGGAGGAGCAGCTGCCGAAGACACCGGTGAGGCCGGGTCAGTGACCTCAGAGGGAGATGGTGCGATGGCAGGAGAGGGAGGAGGTGAGGGAGCAGGAGCAGGCGGGAGGTCGGGAGGCGCATCAAAGTCTGCCCACACGAGGGAGGGTGGATCAGGGAGAGGGTCCCGTCCCGAAGGGGAGTAGAATGGGCGGGTCTCATCAAAGACAACGTCACGGCTCCTGACCAACTGGTGAGTGGAGGGATTGAGGAAGAGGTAGTCAGGTGAGTCGGCGTTGTGCCCGAGGTAGATGCACGTCTGAGTCTTGGGACCGAGCTTGCCACCGGTATGCCGTCGAGCCTGAGGGTTGAGGAGGACATAGGCGGTGCATCCCCAAACGCGAAGAGAGCGAGCAGTGGGCGTTTTCCCGAGCCAGAGTGTGGTTGGAGTGGTGTCGGGAAGGTGCGGGTGGGGGTAAAGGTTGTAGAGGAGGGCAGCGTGGTAGAGAGCGTACCCCCAAAGAGAGTGAGGAGCGTTGGAGTGGCTGAGGAGGCACCGAGTGATCTGCACCAGGGTGTGGTTGCGGCTCTCAGCTATGCCGTTCTGTTGAGGGCTGTCAGGGAGGGTGAAGTTTTGCTGGATGCCTTCGGAGGAGCAGAAGGCTTTGAGCTTGTCGTTGCAGAACTCACCCCCCCCATCCGAGTGAAGGCGCTTGACCTTGCGGTCAAAAGTGGTCTGTGCCTGCTTGACCCACGCTATGATGACCTCGGGTGCCTCAGCCTTAGTGTGGAGGAGGTGAACAGAGACATAGCGGGAGTGGTCATCCACAATGAAGCACATGAAGCACATTGCCGTAGCCAATGGTTCCCATCCCACTTACCCAGTACGCCAGTGGTTGCTTCTCGTGAATGGCGTACTTCCCACTGAGCAGCTCCAGCAGCACGACCCCATAGCTGTACACGTCGCTCTTGTCGGTGAGCAGCGACGTGCTCACATACTCAGGGTCCAGGTACCCGACCGACCCACCCAGTATGCCCACTCCCATCCGTTGAGCTTACCCAATACGCGAGAGGCTGCTTCTCGTAAATGGCGTATTTCCCCGACAGTAACTCCAGCAGCACGACACCATAGCTGTACACGTCTCTCTTGTCGGTGAGCAGCGACGTGCTCACATACTTGGGGTCCAGGTAGGTACCCGACCAATCCAGTCCAGTCCAAGTACCCGAACAACCCACCCACCAACAGACTTACCCAGTAAGCGAGAGGCTGCTTCTCGTGAATCGCGTACTTGCCACTGAGTAGCTCCAACAGCACCACCCCATAGCTGTACACGTCACTCTTGTCTGTCAGCAGCGACGTGCTCACATACTCGGGGTCCAGGTACCCAAACGACCCCCGCACCGCCGTGGTGGGCGGCAGCAGCTGCGGCTGGCCCTCTGGCGTCACGTCCACCGGCACCTCCTTGCACAGGCCGAAATCTGCAACCTTGGCTAGACCATCCTCAGATAGGAGAATGTTGCCTGACTTGATGTCGCTGGGGTAAAGCAAGAGGAGGAGAAGATGAGGGGGAGGACAGAGGGCAGAGGGGCTTAGGTGGCAGCTTCTTGGCAAGACCGGACAGGCCTGGCATGGGTATGGGAGCGGCAACTCAAGGATGGCCTTGCTTGGACCACCGGCGAGGAACAGCAACAACGCAACGGGCATATTGTGCTGGCTTTCTGACTGAGGACTAATCTTCCTCGTTTTCTGATTTTATTAGTAGTATGAGTACCGTAGGCCTTACACAAACTCTTAAGGTTTGTATCCAGCATTTCCTGGCAATACACTCAACTCAAAAATAAAAAGGCCTCACAGCCTCACATCTTCCCACCCGTAAATTCTCACCGGTGGATAAGAGGCGGGTCAGCGCCATAGTGCAGATAGTCAATGCAGAGGGGGTGGGGAAAAGTACACAAGCCAGAGATCAATATGGCCTCACAGCCTGACGGTCGGACGGGGTCCAATTCTCACCGGTGAATATGAGGTGGGTCGGCACCGTAGTGCAGATAGTCAACGGCAAAGGGGTGAATGGGGGAGGACCAAGCCACTGTGCCTCACCACCACCTCACACGCTCACCTGTGGATGAGAGGCGGGTCGGCGCTGTAGTGCAGATAGTCAATGGCGCCAAGAGGCAGATGGATGGCGATCTTGATGGGACGACCAAGCCCCACTGCATCCCAACCCCACAGGTTGAAATGCTTCACACGCTCACCGGTGCATGAGTGAGGGGTTAGCCCCATAGTGCAGGTAGTCAATGCCGAGAGCCACATGGATGGCGGCCTTGATGTGATGACCAAGCCTTACCGCCGCACCGCCGCACCGCCTTACTGCCCCACAGCCTCACAGCAGCTGGTTGAAATGCCTCACAGGCTCACACGCTCACCGGTGGATAAGAGGCGGGTCGGCACCATAGTGCAGGTAGTCAATGCCGAGCGCCACGTGAATGGCGATCTTGATGCGCGAATCCCACGAGAGGGGAGTCTCTTTGGCGCTGGGGCCTGGGGGAGGGGGGTTGGATGGGGGAAGAGTGGAGGAGAGGGGGGGACAAGGGCCTTGGTGGGGACAGAAGAGCCACATGGATGGCGATCTTGATGCGCGAATCCCACGAGAGGGGAGTCTCTTTGGCGCTGGGGCCTGCGGGAGGATAAGGAAGAGGGGTGGGTGGACGAGGGTAGCCCTTCCTTCCTTGGGGCAGCGCATCCTTGGGGCAGCGCATCCTAAGGGCAGCGCATCCTTGGGGCAGCGCTTCCTTGGGGCAGCGCATCCTTGGGGCAGCGCTTCCTTGGGGCAGCGCTTCCTTGGGGCAGCGCTTCCTTGGGGCAGCGCTTCCTTGGGGCAGCGCTTCCTTGGGGCAGCGCTTCCTTGGGGCAGCGCTTCCTTCCTTGAGCCAAGAGCTGTCGCCATGCACTCGTAGACACGGGCCCACTCCTCCTCTCTCAGCGCAGCAGGTCAGCAGTGAGGTCAGCAGTGAGGTCAGCAGAGAGGTCAGCAGTGAGGTCAGCAGTGAGGTCAGCAGAGAGGTCGGCAGTGAGGTCGGCAGTGAGGTCAGTACCGGCAGACCAGCACATGCTACTCGTTCTCCTCTCACCGAGCAAGTGGTTGAAGACCAATCCTAGCCCCAGGCTGCACATGCCATTCATAAAGCCCACCCCACCCTGGAGCCCCCACACTCCCTAAGCCCACATGCTCTCATCTCACTCACTCACCATGCAAGTGGTCGAACAGCGAGCCCAGCCCCATGTACTCGTACACGAGAGCACGCTCCTCCTTCTCGGCACAGAAGCCCAGGAGATTCACCAGGTGGCGGTGGTGCACGCGTGAGAGCAGCTCCACCTCTCGAATGAACTCCCTGTCACCCTGGTCCGACACCTGAGATGAGATGGGGAGGGTACATCAGAAGGGAGTGCACTAGAAGTTAAAAACCCACCCAGGAGATTCACCAGATGTCGGTGGAGCACGTTCCACCTCCCGAATGAACTCCCTGTCACCCTGGTTCGACACCTGAGAGGGAGAGAGGGGGAGGACCACCAGAAGGAGATGCATCAGGTGATTCACCAGCAGCTTCACCTCTCGAATGAAATCCTTGTCACCCTGGTCCGACACCTGAGAGGGGGAAGGGAACATCAGAAAGGGGTGCACTAGAAGTCAAAATTCCAGATGTCGGTGGTGCACGCTCCACCTCCTGAATGAACTCCCTGTCACCCTGGTCCGACACCTGAGAGGGAGTGAACGGAGGGAAAGGGGAGGGCAAATAGGGGAAGGGGGAATGAACTCCCTGTCGCCCTGGTCCGACACCTGAGATGAGGAGGAAGGGTGCACGGGGAAGAGGTGCACCAGGTGATTTTTCAGGTGATTTACCAGGTAGGTGGCAGTGATGGACGTTATACCTCCCGTATGAACCCCCTGCCGCAATGGTCTGACACCTGAGAGGGGGAGGGCGCATGGGAGGGAGTTCACTAGAAGACAGAGCCTCAGGAGATTCACCAGGTGGCGATGGTGCACACAAGGCAGCAGTGGACTTCTCACTCCCTCTCAATCCCCCTCACTCCCCCTCACTCCCTCTGACTCCCACCCACCCACCACATCCAGTCGCTTCACAGCCACCACCGTCTTGTCCTTGAGCACCGCCTTGCACACGCTGCCATACCCGCCACACCTGATCTCACTATCACACCCTTTCACTCCCTCCCACTCCTTCTCACCACATCCAGCCGCTTCACAGCCACCACCGTCTTGTCCTTGAGCACGGCCTTGTACACACTGCCATACCCGCCCCGCCCGATCTCCGCCTGCCAGTCCTTGGTGGCCCGCCGCAGCTCCGCCAAGGAGAACACCCGCGAGCTGCCTGCAGGACGTTTAGGCAGTGCGTGAAAGAGGCATGTGGGTGCGATGGTGAGCAGGGAACGGCACCAAGGCACCACGGGCTGTGCCCCCACCCGATCTCCGCCTGCCAGTCCTCAGTGGCCCGCCGCAGCTCTGCCAGGGAGAACACGCGTGAGCTGCCTGTAGTGGGAGAAGGGGAGAAAAGGAGGGGAAGTGGAAGTGACTCTGCTTGTGCCCCTCCCTGCCTGCCACTCCTTGGTGGCCCGCCGCAGCTCCGCCTGGGAGAACACGCGCGAGCTACCTGCATGAGTCGTTCTGAGCGCCAGCACCACCAGAGGAAGAGCGCGAGCAGCAACAACACAAGCAACTTTCCAATCGCTCCCTCCTCCACACAGCTTCACTTCATGCGCCCTTTCTTCATCTCCACCCACTGCCAATCTCTGTGTGCAACATTCTCGCGGGTCTCTCAGAGCGCCAACGCCGCCAACACCACCACATGCAAATTGTCCTCATTTCCGCTCTCCCCTCAAACGACACTCACTCCCAATCTCTTTCCGCAAAATACGTACAAGCCTTTCTGAGCGTCAGTGTCGCCAGAGGAAGACAGTGAGCAGCAACACGAGCACGCTAAATCCCATCATCCCCACTCCCCCCTCCCCACTCACTGCCAATCTCCTTGCGCAGCATGCGTGCAAGCCTTTCGGAACGCCAGCGGCGCCAGAGGAAGACAGCGAGCAGCAACACTAGCACCACCACCACGACTGGCACCACCACAGCTGCTATTGGGAAGGACGAGGATGACACGGTTACCACCTCCTGAATTGGTGGGCCTGCAGAGGCGAGGGGGAAAGGGGAAGCGATGGGGTTTAGCAGCAACAGCATCATCAGCAGCAGCAGCACTAGCACCACCACCACCGGCACCGCCACCACTGCCACTGGGAAGGCAGAGGAAGTAACGGTTACCACTCCCTGGGTTGGTGGGCCTGCAGAGGCGAAGGGAGGGAAAGGGAGCAAGAGCTTGTTAGATTATACTACTCTTTTGTATCCTGCATTGATCCTATAAACCCTAGGATAGAGATAAGCACCCAAACTATGTTTGGGTGCACAAACTAGGGTTAACCCTAGTTGGGGGTTGGAACCCAACCTTGGTCCAATTATTGGCCCCCCCAATAATATTGGCTCACTTTGGCCAACATTATTGGGACCCCCAATAATTCTCCAACCCAACTTATTGGTGGGGGGCCAATAATGTTGGCTAGGTACCCAACCAACCCACCTTCCCTAGCTTCAACTATGTAAGCCCTCTTGATTCCTAATCAACTTAACGGTTCAATTCTAACATGCTATCAGAGCTCTTACGGCCAACGCCGCTCAAGATCCTAGGACCCCTCGCGCCACTTAGCGCATCTCTCGCGCCACTTAGCGCATCTCTCGCGCCACTTAGCGTACCTCTCGTCGGCTCTGCCGCGCCTCTCGCGCCACTTAGCGCACCTCTCGCCGGCTCTGCCGCACCCCGTGCGCCACTTAGCGCACCTCCCGCCGGCTCTCCCGCCCACCCCCCCCCCCTCGCACCATCCCGACGCTCCTCTCCTTGTCTCGACCGTCCGCCGCGACGAACGCGACCGTCAGCCGCGGACGCGACGAACGCGACCGCCAGCCGCGGACGCGACGAACGCGACCGTCAGCCGCGGACGCGACCGTCAGCCTCGTTTGTCGTGGACGTCGCGGACTCGCCGCCGACGGGCAGCACGGACGCGACATCCGCGCCGACGGGCAGCGCGGACGCGACATCCGCGCCGACGGGCAGCGCGGACGCGACATCCGCGCCGACGGGCAGCGCGGACGCGACATCCGCGCCGACGGGCAGCGCGGACGCGACATCCGCGCCGACGGGCAGCGCGGACGCGACATCCGCAGACAGCCGCCGCTGACGGGAGGAACGCGCGCAGCCGCCGCTGACGGGACGACCGCGAGCAACCGCCGCGGACGGGACGAACGCGGCCAGCCGCTAACGCGACCAGCCAGGGGAGTAACCAGCTGCAGACAGCACGCAGCCCGTCCTCGCTACCGACCACGCCGTCCCTCCGGATAGCGTCCTCACCTCTCGCACCTCCACCCTCTCCTCCTCCTCCCCCCCCCCCTCACTCATCATGGCGGACGAACCTTCGTCGCTTGAGCTCGCCTCGATCGACAAACTCGAGCTCCTCAACGGCACCACAGCAGTCAATTGGGTGTCGTTTGAGGAGAGCCTCTTCACCTACCTTGGCTCCGTTCGAGTGGGAGAGTACTGCCTCCTTGACGTCGTCCTTGAAACGCCTCACGGCCTCCCTCCCACCCCGCCCCCACTCCCAGGCTCCTCCCCCCCTGACGCCCCACCACTCCCGACCGAACCCGCCCCCCAAGCCCCCGTCCTAGGGGCTTGGGAGGATGACCCAGACAGGTGGGCGCGCACCCTCAACAAGTACAACAAGGAGCGGGACGATTATGTCATCAAGAGCAGAGCACACGCGGCTGCCATCGCCGCTCACGAAGCTGCTACTGCAAAGCTTGCAGAGTTCAAAGCCATCTCCGAAGCGTACTCTACTAACCTTCGTAAGCACCACACGGACACTGCTGCATGGCGCATTGCTGACCGCCGTGCACTTACTGTCATCTTCTCATGCATTCCCTCCTCACTCAAACGTGACCTTCGCCCTCCATCCTCCCCCTCTCTCTGGAAGTCTCTCTCCTCCCAATATGATCGTCAGGACTTACGCTCCCTCCTCTCCCTCTTTCGCACCTTCCAAGATATCACCCTTGACTCCTCCCTCAATGCCGCCTCCTTCACTCGGCGTCTCACGGACACTGCGCAACGCCTCAATGATCGAGGTATCTTGATCTCAGACACCCTCCTCACAGCTCGCATCCTTGACTGCCTCCCACCCACCTATGACACCTACCGCATCAACTTCACTTCCCAGCACATTCGTCCTCCTCCTGTGGCTGTTACCATCGACTGGCTCCTTGACAGTGAGGCTGACCTCCTGCGTGACTCTGCAACGGTCAATGCTGTCCACGCTCGCAAAGGAACCAATAACACTGGCGGAAGCAACAGCAGCGGCCTTGGACGTGGTTCAAACGGAGGCGGTCGAGGAGGCGGTCGCGGAGGCGGACGAGGAGGACGCACTGGGGAACGAGGCGGCCGTGGAGCAACTACTCCATCCACAGGAGGGTTCCCCCTGTGCCAGTACGTCATTCGTCAAGGCCCCAACAAAGGTCAGACCTGCAACCAGACTACTCATCCCACTGAAACGTGCTTCAAAGCCCTCACTGATGAATGGCTTGCACGCGGCAACACAGGTTCCCCTCCACGTTGGAACACGATCACCCCTCACCCCACCCCTCATGATATTCGCACTCTCTCTGCCTATGCACCCTCTCCACCTAACCTCCAGAATGTCCTCGCCCAGCACCTCTCCCCTCACGTTCTCCAGCAAGTCCAACACCTCCTCCCTACGGCCACCACCACCTCCACGCCCCCCACCCTCACCCCTTCGCCTCCACCCACTCTCGCACCTCAAACCCCTCCCTCCCCCTATCCCCCTCTCTCCCCGTATCCTCCTCCTTACGCTGGCTGGCCCTACCCTCCGTACCCCCCATCTGTGTATGGTCATGGAACTGCTGCAACTGCTGCATCCGCTGCAACTACTGCAACTGCTGAACAGACCCCCTCCTCCCCTCACCCCCCCGGCTTCACACCGTTTCCGTCTACAGGCTTCATAGGCCATCTCTCCGCTACTAGTATTAATGATGATCCTATGTATGCCAATGCTATTAATGAGTCCTCATTCCAGTGTGGTGGACGATCACAGTCGATACTCCTCCGTCACCCTCCTTCGTACGAAGGCGGAGGCCCCGGCTGCCATCACTGCCTGGGCTGAACAAGCACGCAACCACTTCGGTCGCCCTGTTCGCCGCTTCCATTTCGATGGAGGTGGTGAGTTCCTCAACCGCACCCTGTCCTCCTACTGCACCTCTCACGGCATCCTCCACACCTACACACTCCCTCACTCCCCTCAGCAGAATGGTGTGGCGGAGAGCCGCGTTCGGGAGATCACCAAAACTGCTCGGTGCCTCCTCGTTCACGCCTCCTGCCCACTTTCTCTTTGGGGCTATGTCATCCTTCACGCTGCCATACTCATTAACCTCTACCCCCACCCCTCCCGTCCCACCACCACCCCCACCGAACTATGGACCTCCAGCAAGCCTGACATCTCCTCTGTGCGCGTGTGGGGTTGCAAGGCGTATGTCCTCATACACCCTGCAGACCGCCCATGCGCAATTGGAAAGCTTGCGTCCCGCACTCTCCCCTGTGTCTACCTTGGACACAACACCAACTCACCCGACTACCTTTTCCTCCACCCCCCCTCAGGCCGCCTCATCCGTAGTCGGGACATGGTCTTTGACGAGGCCACCCCGTACTACACCTCCCCCTCCGCCCCTAACCCCCTTCCCCCATCTCTCCGGCCCCTCCTCTGGACTGACACCCTGCCCCTCCTCCCCTCCCTCGCCATGACCCCTCCCCCCTCCTCCTCCTCCCCTCCCCCCCGCTCCCCTCTCCTCCAGCTCCTCCGGCGACATCCTTAACCCACCCCCTCCCTCCCCCTCCCACTCCACTACCTCACCTTCCGCTGCAACTCACCTCCCTCCACCTCCTCCCCCTCCTCCACCTCCCCCGCCCCCTTCCCCTCCATCCCCCCTCCCCTCCTCTGATTCCCCTCCCCCTCCCCCCCCCCCCCCCTCTTCCCCGGCGCCCCTCCCCTACCCTTGTCCTCCCCCACTATCCCCATACCCGCTCCCTGGACCCCATCCTTAGTCCCCCACAGACTGCCCCCTCCTCCCTCCTCGCCCTCACCGGTACTCCCCTTCCCCCCCGCTTCAGCCCCCTCACTCCAGACCCACTGCGCAACCGCTCCACGCTCCTAAGTGCAACACCGCGCAGCCGAGCAGCAGCACTACCATGTCCCAGACTCGACCTCCAGCGCAGCTGTCTTGCATCTTCACCACCCCCCCTACCTCCTCCTCTCTCTCTCCTCTCCTCTATGAAGACACCCACGACGAACTCCTCTTCCTCCACCTCCTCGCGCCCTCCATCGCCCCCATCGTCCGCACCATGGCCGGCACTCCAGTTCTGCTTTTCTCAGGCACCCCCACCATCTTCACCCCCACCACATACGAGGAGGCTATTGCCTGCCTCGACGCACCGCTCTGGATTGAAGCTATGGTCAAGGAGAGTAACGCCTTCATCCACAACCGCTCCTTCATCGA